ATGGAAACGAATAGGTACGTCCTAGCTCTGCATCTCACTGGCTTATCTCACTGGCGCATCGACGCAGTTGATTGTTGCCTCTGTCCCGGTTATGTGAGCTGTACATAGATGCGAACTCCCGTGGAGTGGTATGCACGTCGGCGTGGTGCAAGGGCAAGTATGCACAACGCCGCGCGCTTGGATCGTGCCTGCCTACACTGTCCGCCAAGTCCATGAAGGAAGTGTTACATTTCCATGAGATTCTTCAGCACTCTCTCATTTGTCGAGGGGTTCATTTACACCATCCTTACTCTGATTGCGTCTTGGGGTCATCATTGCTGTTCCTCCAATTGCTTGGCTCGGATCCTTCGTACACTTTCCCCCCGGTAGATCACCTCCGCCATTTCGGCGATATGGCGTCCTCTACGATTCCCCCAGGCGCCATTCTCAAACTGACCTTTTCCCGGTCTCACGGACGTTCCCGCCCTCATGCCCGCCGAAGTCGCAAAGCTAGGCAGTACCGTTATTGCCTACTTGATGGAGCACAAGGACACAATGCAGAATTTTGGAGAGATGGTCGCGCTCTCCTTCGTCGACCACAAAAATCATCAGCTATTCCTGCGACTTGTACAGTTCACCAAGTCAGGCGTGTATACGCTGTTCAGCACGGATGCGTCAGCATTATTCGTTCTCCGCAGAAACAATGCACAAGAGCGCTACGTTCCGAAGAAGCACGAAGGCAGCTCGTACTGCTCGACTGATGGGACCTTCGCGCTGTTCACTGAGGAGGTCGGAGTCTTCTTGTTCAGCATCGAGCTTGGACAGAAAGATCTGCAGGAATACTCGGCGAGAAACATCATGTCTCGCTACCCTCTTCATACTCGGGAAATGCTCTACTTCATTGATACGCTCACTCGCCGGAAGCTGGATCTCGCTGCGATCGGCGTAGAGCTCGCTGCAGCCTTGAGAACGTAAATCGGCGATCTAAGGGCAGAGCTGTTGACTGACCAAAGCTTGCTGGAGATCTTGCGCATCTTCGTACGACCCAAAGATGAGATGATCGCTATCCTAGACGGCATGGACGACCCGACTATCGAAAGACTTATTCGGACTTGCAATCCCAGCGTCATCACAACACCACCCAACGTGGCGGGCATGTTAGACGCGTTCGTGAAGGCGCAGCTCATTCCCAAGGATGTGCTCTCGCAGGCTCACGGGTTGCGAGCATCCTCCTCCAACGTCAATCCCAATACCGCAGCCACGCCGTAGCGGTCCAGCGAGGGCGCTCGTAGCTCCGCTTCGATGATCGAAAGCTCCAACACCCTTGACGAGGCCAGCAACAAGCGTGCAATCTGGGCAGCCATCGAGGGCTACCAGATCGTGATATCTGGTCAAACAGGCTACGGCACTTTGAGGAAGAGCGCAAAGGGTACCACATTCAATTACCGCAACAAGGACTTCTCCTTGGACAAAAGAGAGATTCTACTGCTCGTGCCCGATTCGAGACCGACCGTCAATGGCTTCAAGGACTTCGTGGTGGAGAACAGTTGTGGAGAAACATGCGAGATCTATCATGACCTCAAGGTTCGCCCTTTCCAGGATGCACTCGACGGGAACTTCAAGCCTGTAGCGCCGCAACCCACTATCTCTCCTGCCTCTCCGACAGAGTTATCGGGTCCGCCCAGTGGTCCACGCCTTGGGTATAGCAGCACGCTCCTCGGCGACCAGCCTCCGGACGCCGGACAAGTGAGCTTCCGTGGTGCAGCTGAGCGCCCGTCGCGCGACCCTCAACGTCTTCGCCACCCCGCGGAGATCTCGCGCACGCATGAGGTGCATGAGGGGCAGAGAGAGAATGGCATGAAGCGTTCAAGGGAACAGGCTGACGCATTGTTGGAGGACGTGGGAAGAAGGCGACCGGGCCGCCGTGAGTAAGGAAAGACTGAGGGAAAACTCTCACGCGGAAGAGCACGTTGTCCAAGTGAAGACCATCTACACCGCGGCTGCAGACGACCGATCCGGCTGCCGGGGAGAGACGAGGGTTGACCGCGTCGCTTACACTCAGCCTCTTATGGGCGCCGACCCATCATGAGTACGGTGACCTGCCCGAAGATGGCCATTCTCCCATTCGAGATGTCTAGAGAGTGGGGTTCGACAAGTAGGGTACTTCAATATTTCCACTTCTACTGCTGCTATCACCGATGTCCATTATGCACCACATACGCTTTCCCGCTGCAGACGTATCTCTCACGTGCTCCAGTAGCTATCTGCTCGCTCAATAGCATATGATTTTCAGTAGTAGCAAGAGCTGGCCTTGGTATTCGATGTATACACTACAACATCGAGTCCCCGATCAAAGCAATATCAAAATCCGCATCTCGCTGCAATTGACCCAGCGTTAGTATTATGCTCTCATCAGTGCAGCGACAGGGAAGTGACGATCGCGGCGTAGTCGTTAACAACACTAGACCCTTTCGACCGTATCTTCAGTCCACACAGCTTGGTCAGATTCCTCTCAAGCTGCTCAAGCAGGTCATCGGCTTCCTCTCTCGGACGCTTGATGCCGTGACGTAAAGCCGTTCCCCCATTCGATCCCGTATCCTCCTCTTTCACAGCGCGTGGGCTAGCGCCATTGAGACGCCCATACGCTTCATAAGATCTCCTGCGATGGTCGTGAGCTCCAGACCCGGCGTTCTCGGACCTGAAGTCCCGACTCCACGAACCTCCCCAGCGACCACGCGAGTCTACGTCCCCGTTAATGAAACTAGGAGGGTGCTCTGAGCGCGAGGCTCCGTAGTCAGAGCGCGACGTTCCTTACACTTTCTCCAGTGCCTGCTGCAATGGCACGAACTGTAAGTTGCCATAGACTTCACCTACCTCGCCGTAGCAGTTCTCGACATTGATGTTGCGTGAGCCACTGGCCACGAAGCGCGCGCTTGAGCTCTGTACTAAGACTCCACCCTTCTCGAATTGAAAATCCTTGTTGCCTGCCTCCACGCGTTCAGTGCCGTGTCTATCTCTGCGGAGAGTGCCGTAGCCGGCCGAGGGTGTTATTAGTATGCGGTGTTCTCCGATGGCCGAGTAAATAGCATGCGTCGCGTCGTGATCGTCACGTTTGCGTGCAGTCTCCACGCTGCGAGGCGCTGTGGTCGCAGGTTCGGGACGGGAGGCAACTGGTGGCGCGGTCCTGCCATTGTAGGTCTCGCTCGTGGCCGAGGATGTGCTTGACATGGAATTAGTGAGATGAGTCTTCACAAAGGCCTCAAGTAGTGCAGCGGCATTGCATGGAGCACAGGTCTCGAGTACCTTATCTACCATCGCGCTGTCCATGTATGGCACTAATGCGGCTAGATGGGCCCTTGGTCTCACCAGCCTGCGGAGGATGCTGGGTAGATCATTGTCGCCAGTGAGCTGCTCCTTGACAAGAACAATGCGCGTCTTTACTGCGATGGCGAGCTTCGGATCGAGACCAGATAGGCTGTCAATACCACAGCGAGCGAGTGCATCTAAGAACCAGAGTAGCTCTCGTGCATAGATAGGATGTCGGAACATGATATTGCGAGTAGCATAGGCTTGCAATTCTTTCTGCTTGGATCTAATGCCCAGCATAAGCATCTTGACTTCGGTAGTGAAGCACGTATATGTATCGTCGGTCGAAGAGCAGGAAGCGCCATTTTCGTGCTTGCGCGGCTCGTAAGTCTCGCCTGCTGTCTCTCCACGGCGGCGAACTAGGAGCTTGGTTGTATCAGTGCTCAGGAAAGGAGTGTAGGCAACGTTCTTCGCCCACTGAGCAAGTCGTAGAAAAGTCTCGTATTACGCGTGGTCGTTATAGGACAAAATGGTGAAATCACCTAGGTCTTGTCGCTGGTCTGCCTGCTTGGCTAGTAGGTCCAGGATCGGTTCCGTCAATTTAGCGACGTCTGTAGGCTGGAGTAAAGGTACATCTGTGAGGCCGGGAAAAGCTAGCTTGAGCATGGCGCTCTTGGGGACGCCTTTCGCCACCATGTCTGACGAGGTATCACAGATAAGATCACAGGGTAAGACTGGGAGACTGTAAGAGGCTGCGATTGTGTAGCAGCAGTGTAGGTGAGCCTGAATGATGGTAGGTCGCAGAGTCGAGAACCTTGTCGTATCTGTTTCAGGAGAGGGCGCGTCTCATCCAAATTACCTAAGTCAAACGGCGACGCGTCAAAGCACAGAGCAACATCGACGGTGCAGTACATGTCGGACTGCGTTCTCGAGGTTCTAAAACTTCCTGTAAGACACGTATTGATATTGCTGTGGCGACAGTTTCCGCATCAACTTCGTTAGTGAGACGCTGGACACGACAAGACACAAAGCATGTGTGGGCGACCACCGTCTTACGAACCGCGATCACAGAGGAATTTGCCAGATCGCTCGCAACATTGGGACCTACTCCATGCTACGGTCGATTTCGTTCGATCCAAAGTCGCAACGGCGTTTTAAGCGTTCGAGCAGACTATCGGGCTCAAGATCTCGACACTGGCAGGTATCACGATGATCTCAGCCGCCCAGGCTCTCACAACACCTCAGACGTCAGGGAAACATGACTGGGGTCACATGCCGTTTGATGAAGCAATCTCGATGTACCCTACAACGTGATGGTCGGAGTCGCGAAAGCCTTGTCTTATCTGAGTCTGCCTCGACTCAACACCGACCCATGGCTCTCACCGGGTTAGCGCTCTCATTCAAGGACTCGACCTGCTGTCGTTACCAGATCAACAGCTGCTGCTCCCGTGTCCATTGCTGCACCGCCGAGCAGTGTAGCGGAACCGCCCATGGAATTGAACCCTTGGACTTGTTCGGTGATATGGACGGCTGCTGAGCACTTGCTGTACAAACGGTGACAAGACACTAAGATACTAGCCTTCTAGACAGCTTATTGCACCAGGTCTCGCATATTTCCCATCACTGCGACTCGTTGCACGGCGAAGCTGTGCTCGGTCGCTCCTTCCCTTTTCGATCAGGATCATAGTATCTGGTCCAAGTCCTGTAATCGCAACGCCTTCTTAGCTCAGTTGGTAGAGCGCGGCACTAGTATCTTCACTGCCATGCCGAGGTCAACGGTTCAACTCCGTTAGAAGGCATGACTCGTTTTGGTGTTGTAGCGACCATGGTGAGCATGGCGACCGTTTTGGGAAGTTGTGCGGACTCGAGGTTGCGTTCCAGCTGGTTAGCAGTATTTCGAACGTTGTACGGGGTCAGAACTGGCGGTAACGCGCTCACGGAACCCAGTTTCAGACGCTATCTCCATGAGGGATGACTGTATGCAATGGCTTGAGCAATGCAGGAAAGATCATGTGGGCAGGGAAGCGCCAGTAGTTGATGATAGTGGACAGGTGCATAGATTCACAGTTCCACACTACTGCTACCACAGAGCGCTGAACTGGTCAGATCTCGTGCCCGTTTCGAGTCTGACTATCTGCCTCCCAGCATCTCCCTCCCAAACCCGTCCTTCCCCTCCATCTCCGTAACCCTCTCCACAGCCTTCACAAGATCATAAGTCATACCCTCACTAACAGCGCTATCTTGCTGATACTCCTTGTGCTCCCTCACGAAATGCCTTATCCACTTCGCCGCGGTCCACAGAGTTCCGTTTGCCCTGCCTCGAATCAGGCTCAGGTACCGTGCAAGTTCGCACCTCGTCTCAACGTCGACATTGACCGAGTCGAGATAACTCTCCACTAGCGGTATCAGACCTGGAAAGCCACCTGGTGAAGCGGAGCCGTTGATGATATCGTTCACACTCATCAACTCGTACTCATCCTCCACACTCCCCACTGGCGTGGCAGGCCTGCTAGGCAACGGCGTACCAGCAGCAGAGCCTGGTGCAGAGCCATTCGTACGTCCAGCTCGCCTAGGCAGCGGGTCTTTCCGGAAGTAGAACTTCTTCTCCAGCACGGCATCGCGGGCGTGTGCAGTCTCCATGTTCTCAGTCGTACTCGGAATCGGCAGGTAGAAGTTGAGGTCAAAGCTCAAAATCGCCCGTGTAATCAGCACGACAAAGACAGAGAAAGCAGCATTCTCGAAGTCCGTGATCTGGATCTCCATCGGCCTGACCTCTACACGCCAGCCAATGTCACTACCAATCGGAGGCGGCTTGAAACGCATGTGCTGCCAGTTCGTGGACTGTAAGTTCTCGAAATGATCTGCTTTGTTCAGATCGAGCTCCTGAAGATCTTCGGCGAAGACCACGATTGGATCGCGAATGAAGAGATGCGCGAAGTGCGTTGCCAGGAGATCATCCATACCACCCTCCACTAAACGCGCCTTCAGGGCTTCATCAACGATGAGATTTGGATCAAGATACTCCGGTCGAAGCCGCGAGTCTTGCGAGATGTAGGTACTGTTGCTTGCGTATCGCGACTTGGGTATGCGCCAGCGATCGTTCTTCAGTGGCTTCTCACCCAGCTCCTCGGGCGTACGATCGTCTACTGCGCGGCTGATTTGATTCCAGCGGACGTCAGTATCGGCCAGAAATCCTTTGTATATGGGCGTTGCCGCTGTGAGAGCCAGCAATATCGGTCCAAGAGGCGACAATTGATCGTACATTTTGCGTCCCTCGAGGATGTTCTTGGCTTGGAAGGTGATCTGCAGACAACAAGAGCCCATCCCGAAGGCCATGGCGTCCATGTAGATACAATCCTCCTTTGCGGCACCTTTCCTCACGTCGTCATCTTCAGGCCAGTTGTGCATCCCAAAGTCAACAGTAGGGTCCTGGAAAGGCCGCGGCGTCTTAGTGTCGACGAAGACTGGCACATTGAGCTCCACTTTCTTGCCTCGCCTCGATCGTATGTTCGCCGCAAGGGTCGGGAAGCGAATGTGTGGATTGGCGATCTCGTCCGGGAGGAATTGAGAACGAAGCTTAGGTCCAGAGATGGGATAGTCGGGTGTGAGCGAGTTCTTGTTGCCGAGCCGAGGGAACGTTGTCAGTGTGATGGGATACTCTCGAGCCTCCATGTGCTCTTTCGCGATCTTTCGTCTGCGACAAGGTCAGCGTTTGCCACTCCGATCGACTAAATACTACTAACCTCCACTTCATGTCGGGTTCAACATCAAGCAAGTCCTTGAAGCCAATGCCCCACGGCTCGCCTGGCGTAGCTTCCAGCATGAACCTCCCGAACTCAGGATGAAAGACTGGCGCAGTCTTCCCTGCCCTACTCGTCGTCAGCACACGCTCTCGCACGAGTCGCTGACAGTCACTGACTTGACCGATCCTCTGGCCAGATCCGGCACACCTCCACCCTGCTTCAGCAGCTCCTTGTCGGTGGCCAATGCCTCCAGAATGTCCGCTTGCCGGAGTGACAGCTTCACAGTCCGCTTGTCATCATCGTATGCCACCACGAGATACTCGATCTTGTTCACTGATCAGTGCCGTTCGCGACACAGACAAGAGTATGCTCACCATACCTCATCACCCCAGAGTAACATATCTCGTTCCTTACCCTTCGCATTGTTCCAGATAGCGAGCAACTGTTCAATGCCCCATTCTCGCACATGGCTCGCGACTTTCTTCGCCTCTGACCATTCCAGAGGTGTTCCCACAGCGAGTAAGCCCATCTCTGCGTCGCCCAAACGGTGTCTCCAGTGGGCTCGTATGCCGATGTCGCAGATCCTTGTAAACTTGGTGTCCGGCCCTCCTGCGCCCTCACTATGCACCCATGACCTTGACTATGAGATGACAACGCGAATTAGGGCACCCTCGATCGCACCGTCGCGCCTGCCAGATTCCCCAACTTGCGCCTAGTCTGCGAGCAAGGGCAACGGCTGGATTGCAGCGATCTCGATAGAATTTGAGAGACTCGGGAATAGGAGTAAGATAGTCAAGCAGATGACTCCATAGACTTACAGCGGAAGTGGATCAATGGACTACTATGCCATTAGCACAAGCTACAACAGGTACAACACTAGAAAAAGTGGATTACTAACCCATGGTTTACGATGATGCAAATCTCGAAGTTTGTATTGCGTGAGAGCTCGGCCCGCGGTGACGGAGCACGTGATATTGACAAGATAGGAAGGTTGATCCACTCCCAGCGTGGGGTTTGAGCTCGAAGTGACAGTACAAAAGTGAGTTCAGGGATGGAATTTAGACAGTACGCTGGTGCAAGAGTTTACTCTGAGGTATAGTATGCTATGCTAAGCGAACGTGGCCGCAACTCTTTGCTCCATTTCCATCATCCGAATGCTGGTTTCTAGGTTCTCGTGGAGAAGCGTGGGTATCGTGAACATTGTCTTCCTGTCGTGCCAACGCCTTGAATGCAATCATCAATCCTCAGTAACGCCGTGAGTTAACGCCGCTCCCGTCCGTACTTTCTCCTCATTCCAAAGTGTGCTTGATCCGTCCGCCGTAGGTAAATATAGGACATCGAGTGAGGTGCCCCCCAGTTCACTCCCTTCCAGCCAGGAAGCTAGTCCAACCGACCAGCTTCACGTAAGTGGACACGGCCGCCTCTTGTACCATCTTCTGGCTCAGAGAATGACTTTTTGCCAAGGGCAACTTCAATCCTCCCAGATAGTCTCTAGATCCAGATCTCCCCTCCTTTCGCCCCCACAAATACTCCACCTCTTCTTCTCCCTCGCCACGCTCCCTCTGCCAAACCCAAACCCGGCTCCCTTACTATCCAGACTCTTTCGCCGCCTTCCCTCTTCCTCGCCGCTCTCTTCGCCGCTTTCATCCCGCTCTGCGATCCGTTTGCGCTCCTCTTCGACTGCCTCAGATTCGGCGTCTGGTGCGTCTTCGATCGTGTCCAGCGATGATATCGAGGGTGACCTGGACCGCATTGATGACGGAGTAGAGGAGAGAGAGGAGAAGCTGGAGTTGCTAGCATAGTGATGTAGCGAGAGGCCTGAGGGGAATGACTCGTTAAATTTCGTCGCTCCTAGACTCGGCGACGAGGATGACGAGGATGACGAAGTAGTTGCGTGATGGATCGGAACATTCTGGTCGATCACACTTGCTGGGAATAAAGGTGCTGACATATTGCCTGTGGTGTGAAGTGGTGACACAGGTCGTCTGCGCAACGAGCCCGACCGCGAGAATGAGGCGCCTGCTATCGCTGAGGGTGACGGCAAAGGTTGCTGCGCACGTGGTGTGAGGTCCAGCTCCATATCCTCGTGTATACTTTCGATTCCGCCGCCACTGCTCGGGGTCGTGCCTTCGTACCAGCTTGGTGAGCGAGGGGGCGGCAGGTAGGCGTCCTGTTGTTGCTCCTTGAATGGCGATCGGACTCTCGCGGGTGAGCGAGGGGCGGGCGACAAGGAGCCGCTGGAGGGACTTGGGCTTTCGAAGGCGCGTGAGGCGGCGTGCACTGATGGCAGAGAGTGCGCGCGCGTCATGAGCGGCGCTTGAAGGGTAGATCCACTAGATCTCGATCGCAGGTGAGAGCGTGAGTAAGGCGAGCGATTCCGGTGACTGCTGACTGGTCTCCCAGCAGGCAGACTACTAAAGTAGTCCTGCAGGATCGCTGACGGCGACGGGTCAGTAGAGCTGCGCGCCGTGCTTGGCCGAGTTTTTGGGCGTGCGTCGATGATCTCCATCGCCTCGTCATCGGCCGATGGCTGCTGTAGTGGCTCCATATTGTTGTTCTGTCGCAAGGGAAGCGGCCGCTCAGTGTTGTCGAGTCGAGGGACCATCACGCAGGATGGCTGGAATGTAGACGGGCCGTCCTCGCAGTGAACGCCGCCCAGTGATCTTCAAGGTACTGAGAAGACTCAGGACTGGCAGTCCAGTGCAGAGATTCACCCGCTCTCTCAGGAAGTGAAAGGTGGTAGAAGGCGTGGGCACGAGTCGTAGCATCTAGTGGTCCCGCAAGCGAGCCACTTCTCCACAACAGCCTAATTCTTAGCGGAAAACCCTGTCGATCTTTGCAATAGACATGTGAACTTTGGTTGAGGTTTGATTGATGGGAGGCAGATCATTTGCATCACGATCACATTTAGAGTTGAGGCTTGAAACTGAGATGATATACAAGCGCTATGTGCGCAATGACAGAGCCTGCACCGGCTGATTCAGACATCTCACCACCAGCATCCAATATTCGCGCCTCTCTGCGCCCACAGTGACACGTGCAACCAGCTCTAGCCA